GCTTATATGCACACAATACTCATATATATTATTAATTTGTATCTCCTTTAAGACTTTTTAGACCACAAACTTAACAGTTTCTCTTCATTTCATTAGTGTTTCTGTGTTGCTAAGGGATGAGCCCTGTTAAAAATCTATGTAAATGTCATAGGCGTAGTTTTATAGCATGTACAGGAATCTGCCTCTCTGAATTGCAAATTTCACGTTCTCAATTGCTCACTCAATCCCGGTTACACGTGCACAGCAGGCAAGAATACAGTCTGAAGGGATCTGCCTGTAAGGAAAATCTGCATATGATTGCTGTCTGTGTATGCTTGCAGGCTTAACTGCCGTGCTTCTGTTTTCCTCTAAAACCTCCCAGATTGGTCAGTGACACTTCTGAGTTTATCATCACCTATGCAATCAGTGACTTGTTAACATTTTTTATTCAATATTAACCAGTTGTAAAAGTTTAGCAGAAGTCAAAATTATTTTCATGATTTTAAGTCAGAAGATGGTTCCTCTTTTTAGGGGGATGAAGTTTTTATAGTATTTAGAAATATTCAGAAATATCTCAGATAACACAGTTATATACTGTGGAGTACATTTCTGAAAACTTTCTCCTTTCCTTTGACTAGAAAGCCGAGAGTGGTGCCTTGGAAGTGGAGATTTGTTTTTCCATCACTGTTGGCTAATATCACGCTGTTGGTACTAAGCAGACTTGTAAAACACCTTCATTGTCCTCAGTCTTTTTATGGCTTGCCTACTGAAGTAAGCAGCATCTATTCTCCTACAGAACAGTCCAAACAGCAGTTTAACATATTTCTGTAGAATAGGGGTTGTAAGAAGTAGGTTTTCTCATCAACACCTTTAACAAATGGATGCATAGGATTCCATTTCCAAATCAATCATCTATGTAATTTACAAAATATGTTGTAAGGTATAAACAAATACAGTAAATTTGTACAACTAATTTTTGTATATTACATATATAGCCAATTTTATCTTGTTTCAAGCTACTGCTGCAGCCAGAGCACTAGAAGATGCTGAGAATGGGTTTTCATAGTTTATTTCCTTTACTACCAGTTTCAGCCTTTTAATTTAGAAGGAAGTCAGAACTATTATCTCAGGCACGACCGTTTATGTGAGCATCAAGAATAAGAGTAATGTATAGCCCTTGTAAAAAATATGAAAGTTTGCACTTGTATTTTTCAGTTGTGTTTCATCTTTTACAAGATCCTTTGTGCAAATTAAATGTGGTTTTCTTCTAAAAGGTGTGCCTGCTGCTTCTTTGGTAACCCCTGCTGATGTCATCAAGACAAGACTGCAAGTGGCAGCTCGCGCTGGTCAGACAACATACAGTGGAGTTATTGACTGCTTCAGAAAGATTCTAAGGGAAGAAGGCCCTTCAGCTTTGTGGAAGGGAGCTGGAGGTGAGAAAAAAAATTAAGGCTGACCCCAAATCTGCAAATTAGCACTTGCTTTGTTAAGGACTCAAATAAGAGCAGTGTTTACAAGGTCTTATTGTGAAAATGTAACACCTTGTTAAAAATGTTTAGCTTCTCTCCTGAGGAACTGTTTTATTTGTTTAACACTATTATTTGTAATATTTAACAGCTCGTGTATTCAGATCTTCACCCCAGTTTGGTGTTACTTTGGTCACTTATGAGCTTCTGCAGAGATGGTTGTATGTTGATTTTGGAGGCCTGTAAGTCAAGTTATTTGTTCTTTAGCTTGCACAAAAACAACGGCCAAATTTAAAGAAAAAACCCAAACTTTTTCATGCATGGGACCCATTAAAACTTGTTGACTTTGAGCATCTGTAGTTAAAATTGCAGCATGTAAAAAATCCCCCCATCCTTATATAATTTAGGGAAACTTGCATGCTACTTTTAAATAGATGAGATAAAGAGCCATTTCATATTTATTTCAGTATACTAATTTGTATTTCTATTGTAGCAAGATAGTTTTGTCCATTCTCCTCATGACACTGGGAGCTAAAAGAATTTACAAAAGTATCAGTAAAAATGAAACTTCAGTTTTGGGTTTGATTTAAAATTAAGTACTGGTCTGACCTCATTCACTTCACCATAGGAGTCAATTAATTAAGGTCAGGTTTAACAGTCTTCCATATTCAGAAAAAAGACTTAAGTATTTATGCCTGAATAAGTCTATTTAAAGACCTTTCTTATAAAATCTAGACTAACAAAATGACCTTTTTTCTTTGTTCAAACAGCAAACCGGCTGGATCAGAATCTACCCCAAAGACACGAATTTCAGATCTTCCTCCTGTTAATCCTGCACATATAGGAGGATACAGACTTGCTACAGCTACATTTGCTGGTATAGAAAATAAATTTGGTTTATATCTTCCAAAGTTTCGAGCTCCTGCTACCACCTCAGCTCAAACACAGAGTTAGCAGCTGAGTCCTGAAAAGATGTTTCAAATGAACAAAGTTGATGCAGTGGAAAGAGTTCACAGGAGTACTGCTGTATTTTTTTCCAGTCAGCTGCATGTGTTCTAGCTGAACTGAGCTTGCAAATAGAATTGCTGCTTTCAAATATTCATACATACCTGCATTTATTTATTTACACACAAGGAACTGAATGAAGCTGTGGTTTTCTGCCTTGTTTTAACCCGTGGCATGAAGCTGTAATCTCGACTTTGCCTTGCACAGCTTGCATTTAATGTTACTGTACATATTGTACATCTTTGTACAGAGACATCAGGGCATCTATACACATACATTTATATAATGGGTATTGCAGTTCAAAATAGTTTGAAATGTACAGATGTTTTGAAGGTGTTTTGTTAACAATCGTGACAATAAAATGTTTCAAAACGCTTGTGTCAGTTTGCTTCATTGAATTTATAGGAAGTTGTCCTGTATGATAGTTTTTTCCTCCACAGAGGAAATGTGAAGATCAGATGCATTCATTTAATGATTGGACAGGACAGAGCCTCTGCAGGAATGCCCTTCAGTGCTAGTTACAGCAAAAGAATTTATATGCAATGTGCTGGCTTGTAAGTGTTAAGATCATACAGTAATTAGATGAGCACATGCAGTATTTTATTTTGCAGCACTACTTTGTGACAAGGAATTCTCTCAAAATACATGGCAATATTAAGTGTGTAATAGATACTACTCCTATGGTAGCATATTCAAAACACAATGAGAGATTTGCCAGTTACTAGTACACTCAAGAATTTTTACAGGGTTTATTACTCAGAGTGGCTTTTTTCCTGAATAGAAAACGTGCTACAAAAAATTGAGGGCATTCTCTTAATTTCTAAATTGTTTTACCATGAGATTAGGTTATTCTGTGGGGGAGAAAATATTCTTACCTTTGTATTGTGTTTATATGCAAAACTGATTGTTTATATTTACAGGTGAGTGGAAGTAAAAGAAGAAGAGAAAGTGAAAGTGAAAGCTTGAACTATTTCTAGCTTTTCTAACTATTTCCCTAGTATCATATTTATATGCGAAAATGTCAGAGGAAAGAGAGGAGTTGAGATTTCTGCTGTTCTGGAGGAAAATCAGTCACACCGTCCTTGCATCCAGAGATAAGATGGTTTCCAGCCTTGCTTACTCAAGTTTTACATGTTTCTTACAGGGTTAAACATCCTGGAATAGAGTATATCCAAGTGGTATAAACTGATTTCAGGTTCTGTTCTTACTTAAGTCACAGCAGGCCCATCAGGGATTAAATCAGTTTATGAAGAAATGGCTTCTTAAGAACTGAACACTACACAGAGCAGCCCTTCTCCAGCTCTAGCCTCTAAGGAAGATAAAAATTATTTTGGTGCTGAATAATATTTAGTGAGCCAGAGGTTACATACAATACACTGACCTTGGAAGCTTGACCACTATTCTGCAATATGAACATAGATAATGTCATTAGAAAGCTTCCTTCTTTAGTTGTATTGTGTTTAAGGAATTTCTTGTTCTGTACTGCTTTCTGGATAGAGACAGGCTTCTGGGAACTCTCTCCTCTATCTGTGAATTTTGTCTTGCGCTTTTCTAAATAGAGACAAAAATGGTGGGGACCCACAGGCATTTAATCTTAGTCACAGTTTGTTGACTGCCTTGATCAAGGCCTTGGGAGACTTGACAATGCACAACAGCATTTGTATTTCTTGCAGGTCCAAAACTGGACAGTTTGGCTCCTAGAATCCTCATTTACAGCATCTAGCATCACTTTTGGTCTCAACGTTGCAGGTATGGCTTTTACAACATTTTTAATCTGTACTCAACTATTCTGTGAGGGAGGACCACAAGCAGGAATAAAGATGTAGTAGTATTAAATTTAATAATTGAAAATTATTAGAAGGTTGAAATTACACAAAACTAATGCCATATGACCTGCATGTATGCAAAAGAAAGCCTTACCTACTCGATTTCTGAAAATAAAAGCATGAGGGAAATGTATTATACAATGAAAAGTAATCTCAATAAAAAACCCCACAGAGCAACTCAAGCACCCCCTCACCCCAAAACCATCAAACCAAGACACCTTCTGCTTGTTAAGAAATCTTCTGCCTAAAAGTACAAACTCTCTCATGATGTGCCTGTTCTTATACAGTTCACATGCTTCTCAGCTGAGGACAGCTGCTGTTGCAGGGTTGAGAACACACAGCATAAACGTCTGCAAACTGAGCAGCATGGCTGGGTTGAAAAGAGGAGGACACACTCTTGAAATTCTAACACCAATGGAAGCTTAAACATGTTTCACTTCCAGACCCACCAAAAAAGAAAACTTTGGAAGACAGAACTGCTGTTACTGCTATGTCTCTATAAGATGCTCATAATAACAAAACTAAGACAAGGAGAAAGAAAAAACCACTAAAACTAAAGAGTTAAAAAACAAAGAAACAATGACAATACTCTTGGACATGAAACTAAGGAATACAAACCTATTTCCTATTTTTAAGCATATAAAACCAGCTCTCCTGAAAAAACAATAAGCTTTTAACAAAGTAAAAACAATTGTAGAGTCCTAAATTAAAGGCTACAAACTGATTTAGTGCCTAATTAGTAAAACTCACAGTATTTATTACAAAAAAAAACCAAAAAGAAACAGCCCCCTTGTAATTTGTCTTAATAGAAAACTTCATAATGTGCTAAGAAACAAAAAAAAGTAACCTTTAAAAGAAATTCCAACCGTTCTGTTTCAAGCCATCAAGAAGTTTTGTTTCAATAAAAATGTTAAAAATCAAGAACAATAAAATCTTTAACTTAGTGCATAAAATTAGTAGCAAGTCTGTAGTTAACAGAATGAAACTCTTCATGCTATAAGAATTAAGTTAAAATCTAGTTCCTTACCATTTGAAAGAGAAACATTTGATAACCGAAGCCTTTTTTCTATTGGCCAATTGCCATGGCAGTAAGGGGTGGCTGGGGGTAGAAAACAAGCCTGTGATGTGTACAGTAAAACAAAAGGATCAGCTCCCAGAAACTTTAAATTACTGCAGGGACACAGATTATAGGTCAGGGCAGCTGACAAGTGCTTGTATAGTATTTATTTGTGAATCCGTCTCACCGTTCAATGCACCAATTCAAACAAAAGGAAATTGGTATTAAATATGTATTTCATTAATTCAGGTCTGATTATCATGTAAGTTTGTAACTACAGACAAATTTTTATTCACATATATTACCCACTACCAGAATCTGAGGCTTATCTATATATAAACAATGAAACTTGGAACATATGCATGCATATCATGGGTAATTTGAAGAATTCAAATTAAAGAATGCTTCAGAGATTTACTACCTAGTGAAGGTTAGTCTGTAACACAGAAAGTTTTAGGAGCAGAACTTTTACTTTTCAGAAAGATACTCTTTCAGATTGGACTTTACAGAAGCCAAGTAGCAAATTCATACCAGGTTAGTGTTTCAGCAAAAGATCCTTGCAAAGTCAAAGTTAACTGTATTAAAAGTTACACAAAAGAATGTGCTTGTAATTTATATATAAAACTTAACAATGCAAGATCTAATTTTCAGTGATCTTAATACATTTCAAAGTCCATTGTTGAATCCATATATTCGTCCCCTAAGCTATGATTAGAACTGACACGTAGGATTTGCATCCAGTCACTGCCAGTGCAGCCCTGGAGGCTGTTTTTGAGGGCTCTATGCCGGGATGCGGGTCGCAGCCTCCTCCTCCGCGTCAGCTCTGTTGGCGTTGATTTCTGCCAGCGTTCGGCCAAACCGAGTCCACTCATCCCCGCGAGGAACGGCGATTTGCTGTGACACAGAGAGTGTTACTGGAACCTCCTGCTAAATACAGCTGAGCTCGCTTTGAACGGCACAGCACTTTCATTATGTTCAGAAGAGCTTCCACTTCCAGATAAGCTTACCTTTATTTTAGTGTAAGTGTCAAAAGCTCTAACTAATAAAAGAAGCAGAATTTGAGACTACTGCATTGAAGTATAAAATTATATTATTGTAAGCCTGTGCTATGTATCTCCACCTGAGACACTGCCTTCAAAGGGAATACTAATGCTATATCCTCATCCCATCAGTCATGTACTACTGCAGTACACATCCTTGCAAGAGCAGCTGCTTCCCTGTAAGAATATAATCAAGGCTGCTCTGCTGCAAAATGTTTTGTTTGGTATTTCTCGAGCTAGGATCAGAATTCACACGTGCCACAGTTACATAGAAGATAAAATTTCAGTGAACAAACCCATTGATCCTTATTTCACTAGCCTTACAGTAAAGCTTTTTCTTCTTGACTGGATGACAGCATGCTAAAAAGTTATGCTAGAACACCTTAAATAAAACACTACTAGGAAATATTAATAAAAAAATACAAATTAAACCTAATTATTATTCCTCTAATGATAGGAGAAAAAAAACGAAAGGCAAGCTGCTAAATAAAGAAACCCAAGTGCTTTGCAATATACTTTGCACAATACATGACATACATACCTCTCCCACGTCATATATAACTATTTGTCCCTCTGAGTCACCTACAGCAATCTCTCTCCCAGAATGTGTCCATCTCACACGGTTCAGAGCAGGATTGCCCTCCACGGTGATGCTTGCAGTGGGCACCTGTACCAATTTGAAACACATTGCTAAAAATGCATCAGGTTTCCATAAGCTAGATATTACAGAACACACTTAGGCCATCTGTGCTGCATCAAACGAGATGCCCAACACTTCAGCCAGTGCGTGGTACACAGATCAAAGACTGTTCACAATACAAAGACCTCAGTGGCCTTAAGCTATCACCAGTGACATGACCAAAACAAAGTACAAATATCTGCTATCAAAAGGCACTCTTCTTGTGGGACAGGAGGCACAGACACGCTTTCAGGCAGTGACAGGCACCCTAGGATCTCAGGAAGATTATGACAGAGGGTGGGATGAAATCAGCTGTTTTGGCAGGTCAAGCCCTGTCCAAAAGGCTAGAACAGGTAATTCCAATTTAAAGTCACAGGCTGGCATATGGTCCTACAACTTTCTTCTATATGTAGTTTTCAGATGGTGAAATTTAAGTACTAAGTATCTGCCAAGTTTCTCCTCTGATTTCAGCAAATCTTGGAAAATATTTCTACTATAATGAAGTTTATAACCCACACCAGAAAATTAAACATTCAGTTCACTAAGTTAGAAACAAATGGCACTTTCACTGCAGTATTACTGTGGCAATAGGAACAGTGGTGGTGTGTGGTAACAGGTTTGTTCACTCTCTTAAGCTGTAGGCTGACAAGGCCTCAGGGTGGGAGGTCTATAATCATTTTCACAACATGGATCAGTGTTACACCAACAAATGTTTTGCTCTCTTGTTAAAGGTAAAACAATTTAATTACTGCTGTTATTCATTAAGAGGAGTAATTTCTAACCCTGTAATCAAAGAATGCTATCTATTACACAGAAACTACTGAAACTGCAGAACATTTTAAAACAACAACGAAAAGCTATGGTAAAAAACCCCCTAAAGTATGGTAAACACACTACTTTTTTTTAAGAGTACAAACAATTTTCCAGCTGCACTTGACTGTTAACCTGATTTCTCACCTCAGTATCATTGTTGAGATTCCACAGGTCAAGCCTGCCCATCCCATCCACACAGGCAAACAAGGCAGGGTGAGTTGGAGACCACATCACATCATAAACATAATCCGAATTGTCTTCAAAGGAGTAGAGAGGTTTGTTATTCTGAAAAGAAACCAAGATAACAATGCAGTACCCAAATCCTGTATTTCAAAATTATAGAACTAACAGGTAAAGCAAAATACAGGACTTCAACAGTATTACCAGCAATAAGTAAAAAGTGATTTGCATTTTGACTTGCTTTAAAAAAACACCACTACAAAAATCAGCCAAAACCTAATGCTTTTAAAGGTATGCTTTCCAAAGCACGCAGCCATTTGCTGGCTGCTACTATAAAACAATCAATAGCAAGCCAATTGAAAATTGTAAATTTAATGCTTTAAGAACCTTGTAAATCAAGCCATTGATAATTCAGTGACTATTACTGGGAGATTTTAACTCTACTTCCTCTGCTTTGCACTCCTCAGGGCATCTGACTAACAAAGAAGTAATTCTTGCAATGAAAATGACAGATATTTCAATTGTGAGCCTCATCAAGTTTAACTAACATTAGTTTTGGTGCTGTCCCTTAGTCCTCCACAAAAATTGTAGCAAAACATTTGCCTTATGAATGTATGAGGTAACTGACTTTATAATATGATTTACATTTGATTACATTGTAATCATTGTTGATAACAAAGGGCAAAAGGTTGAAAAGAATGGGTCAGAAATACACAAATGATGTACAAGCTGAAAGCGAAGTTTTATGCTGTTAATCTTGGTTCTGCTCATCAGCTGTCTCCTCTCTGCAGGACTGCAGCTAAGAACCTCAGAACTTCACACAATTTGACTTCAGGTTCGTGAACTTCCTTAAGTAGCTTACATTATAGCACCACCTTGTGTCAAGGGCTATGAAGAAAACCACTGAACTATCTAAGTTACCTTCGTTGTCCAAAGCTTTACTGTCCAGTCAAAAGAAGAGGTGACAAAAAGATGTGAGAAGTCTACAGGTCCAACTGCTGCATGGCAGTTGATACCTGTGATTGGTCCCTGGTGTCCTTCAAACATCTCACTGATTCCAGCTTTGCTGTTTCAGAATATACAATGAAAGTTAATTGATTGGGAAACCAAACATCTGCAGACAGAGATAGCACTGAAATGCAATTTAAATACAGCCACAAGAAGATTTTTCTGCTTTATATGGATGTTACCCCACTGCAAAAGGCTTCACCACAGCAGGATCACAGAAGACCAGGCTTGAAAACAGACCTTCAGTTCAACATGTATTTTCTACTAATTTTAAGTGCCAAAATATATCCTAGGGACAGGAGACTCATTCAGGTATCAGTCCACACATTTAACTACATTGTCCTCCAAGCAATAGCTACATCTTCATATTCATACAAAGAACAAAATCCAGTCTCGGGAATAAGGATAAAACTCCCATGAAATTAAGAGAAGTTGCACATACTTTAAGGGCACGAGGTTCAGACAAACCAGTAAGAATATATCCCTAATAGACTCCTATCAGGGGTGATGAAAAAGAGGGAAGCAGATGGGAAGGATGTTACACGAAAGTGATACAATTTTGGGTATTTTGGAACCAAAAAAGCTGTGCAGCAAGGTGATGTGTATTTGAGATGAAACCTGGACACTCAATTGTATTTAAGAAAGCAATTGATAAGATACAGTCAGACCATTTCAAAATAGATTGAACAGCAGGAGAACAGCTAGCCAATTTAAGATTTGTGCGTGATGTTACTGTACAATTATTTACAAAACTGATACGAAGTTTGGAATGTTCTGCTACAATTCAAATTAATAAAACCATAGTGACCTATGCTGTCCTTATCAACACAAACAACTCATAATATCAATTCAATATTCCAACCATTTCTGTTTTAAATGAAGCCCTTACTCTGGAAAAAGTGCACTGGAATTCAGACAGAGCTACTCTGAACTCCTTCAATGTAAAGGAGAAAGTATGAACTTTAAAAAATTTTGAGTGTAAAGCATGCAGGAACTCATCCTTCCAGTGTTTTTATTTCCTTTGAAGAATTAAAGTTTGTATTCACCTGCCATGACGGCATGCAGTGTAGACTGAGCCCTCTTCACTGCCAACAACAAAGTTGTTGACATCTCCAATAGGGAAAGACATGCAGGTAACAGCCACAGCCTTGGACTGTTTGTGAACCAGCTCCATGCTATCCTGTAGTGAAAAAATTCAGCAACTTACTTCATTAAAAGAAATACTAATACCTACAAAATCTTTTCAATTTCACAATAGAAGGGTTTTCTTTTTATTTCACTTAGATAGATTGGGCAGGAATAAGAAAGTGTTCTTACAACATTTGTGTTCACCACTAACACAAATACACCAGAACTATAAAAAAGAAACAACAGAAAATATTTGATTCCACAGGTAGGGAAATATTTTATCAAGTATCAAGCTACCTTAATTCTATGTGTTGGGAAAATGTTGATTAATGTTTATTATATCAACTGAATTTTTAATAAAATATTAATCTAGAATAGATACTACATATATATTTATCAAAAGTTATCTTACCTGTGGTTGGGAAAGCATATCCAGACTCCAAGAGCATATTTTCCCATCAGTTGAGATACTAATCAAATTATGAGCATTCTGGGTCCCAACAACATTTACACAGTACACTGGGTGCTAAGAAACAAAATATTATCAGAGAAGAATTTAGAAGTAATAACCAGTTCTGATATAATTAATGTACAATAAAATATAATATTTTACCATTTAACAAAGCACAAAAGATTGATCCCAATCAAAAGTACAAATGATACTCCCCTATAAAACTGATATTTGTTTTTTCTGACACTGATTTTTATGAATAGCCTGATTCCTAAGTATCAAAATATGGACATAAACATTTAAGCATTGCCAATCAAGTGCCCTGGACAGAATTTCCTAGACATTAAACACATCTCAACAGGGCACAGTCCTTGAAGACATTTCACCTCCTACCGTGTGAGCAGCAGCTGAAAGTGGCGTTCTCTGCACCGGGGTTCTCTTATTGCTGCGATTATCCCACAGCACTATCTGGCCCGAGTATGTGCCACCAACCACCAGATTGGGATGAAATTTTGCAAATGTAGCTGACATCACTGCAGACTGAAAGGAAGAAAAACAAACAGCAAAATACACGAACTATCACTTGGTGACACTATGTCTAAAGGAAATGAGGCCCAATATCAAAAAAACTTACTTGCCTAAATTTATTCAGTACATTATTTCACTTCTCAATTACTTAAGGATTCACCCAACCTTTGTAACCCCTCAACAGTCTTTTTGTTTCAATTTATAACTATAAAATGAAGTTTTCCTCCTCTTTTCTTTCATATGCATACATCTGTATTCCTCCTAGCATAGTTTATTAGCAAAGGAAGGCCCAGTAACATACAGGATTTTAATAATGTTTTGCCACATTCTGTAGTCATTACTTCTTAGAGAATGTAGAAATACATTTTGATATAACAGAGTTATTTTTGCAATCTGGGGTTTGACAGTAATGTGACAACATGAGGTTAAATTTTGATTCAACTGTGTAATTTTCCAAAATGATGGAAACAATGTGGATATCTTGGGCTTGGCATAATGGAAGAGATTTGCATGTTTTAATCTTTAAGAAAACCTCCATCTGTCTTTTTCTTGATGCATATGTTTCTAGTTTTCATCCTTGTTCCATTTCCTCAGGCTGTCTTCATTTTACTCAGTAAACTACGCTGTAGTATACAATCCCACTCAAGTCCCTTACATATAAACCTTTGTGATCCAACCATTACACAAGAAAGTTTTCCTGTTTTTTAAATAAAAAAAGGACTTCCCAAACAACCCTGAATTCTGAATAATGTCAGAAATTCTGAAACAGAGTCATATTTCTCAGCTGAAGTCTCTAGCTATCAACATCTGTTGAGAAATAAATGTGGGTAAAACAAATGTCAGCCCAATGAAATTATTACACTGACAAACATAAGGAAGGTGCTTGTTCAAATTCATCAACAAAGTCCCTCCCAAGGCAGGATCATACCTGGCAGTGAAAGACATACTCTGGGGTAGTTTTCTTGTACTTCATATTCCATACAAGGGCCACCCCATCAGGCTCGTGAGGCGCATCCTCATTGTTGTTGTAAGAGGCTACAAGTAATTCTGGATACTGCATGGTAAGTGAAAAAGACTCAAAGTAAGCAAGATGACTGGCTAATGGTCCAGATAATCCTAGAATCTTTGTTTTCTTTTGCCAAAATAGGGTTAAAAAACCACCTTACATTATAAAGGCAAGAAAAATTGTCAGTTAAAACTGCAGTTGTTGCTAATTTAGCTCCTCCTACGTGCATTAAGGTGCACATTATTCTTGTTCTCTCATCATAACTTTAACTCTAAAACCCATTACTTTCAAGTGAGTTTTCTTTTTAATGAAGCTGAGTTACCTCTACAAAGCAGTCCTTAAACCAAAACCAGCTTTCTTCACAACACGAACCTTTTGCTACAGCTCTGTCTACTTTTTGCAAACCACGGAGCATGGAAGGAACACGTTTAGAAATACAGCCTGTATCAACTGGGCTTTTATGGGAATCATGCACAGAACGACAATAATTTACAAAGTCAACTGCTTACTTTAAGCATTATTTTTTACCTGAGATGACCAGTCCAGACAACTGACAACACGATGCTTTGACCAACGTTCATCAAAAAACTGCCTATTTAAGGACAGTTTTGCTCCCGCTTGAATCTCTCTATAAAGACAATTAGGAGATACTAATCTTAGATCATTTTTTCAGTTAAAAGTATTGGAAATTCACAGAAAAGTATTTAACATTCACATTACCCTTCTTTGTCCTCTAAATCTCTTCCACTGTAGTCAAAGAAAATGTTGATTTGTTCAGAAAGGGCTCTTTCAACAATCCTTGTGGAGTGGTCAAAAAAACTTAAAAATTCTTCAGAATGCAAAATTTGTTGCTTTTCCTCCTCTGTGAGTTCATGAGGTGCAGCTGAAAAAAAAATGTATACAGACATTTTCTGGACTGCATGCTTTTACCAATTATTTTCAAGAAAGAAAAACAGTATTTATCATGATTTTTAATAATTTTTGCATTTTATGTTTTGCTGGCTAATTAGCATTTAACAATTAAATTAATAGAACAAAAAGTTAAAAAACGTATTGATGGCTTTCTTTACAGTGCACATTTAGAAAGTCTTGAGGTGAACTGTACCTTCTTCCTCTTCCTCTTTTTTTAATGTTTTTTCTTCCTCAGGTTCCACTAATGGTTTTGGTGCAACCACATCATCTTCCTCCTCCTCATCTAAAGAGGAACATTATGGTGAGACCATCAGTGTTTTTAAAGGGGAACAGTAACATTCTATACGAATCTCAAATAAGCTGATGCAAAATGGTATCATGTAGCTTAAAATGGTTGCATTTGTAAAATGTAGGCTCAAGGATAACATTATCACAAACCAAAATATCATTGGAACACTGTCTCCACCTGGGTATCAGTTGCACTGAGTTATGTAGTTGCATAAACTGAAATAAGACACACAGGAAATTGTAAAGAATCCAAAGTGGAAATCTGTCTTACAGGCATTTATGATTCCACACAGAACCATGCAGTGGGTGTATGTTCTGTGTAACACACTGACACATTAATGCTGTGGAATAAAGAAAAATCAAATGTCTAAAATAGTCTACAGAACAGCTGCTTACTTATGATCTGAAAGCATCAGTCTAATGGGTCTGCACATGGCACGAAGATGGCTTACATTAGCTTTCAGGTTGCTATTCTGAGAGGCAAATTTTGCTAAAGATAATAGCGGAGAGATTACATTTTTTCTGTCATTCTAGATGCAAGTCTCATTCTCTGTATCATGTTTGGCAATGAGAACTTTACAGGAATACGTGTTTTCCCTAATTGCAATGAATAACAAAATGTTAATGTTCAGGAATACTGACAAGGCTTACAGCACTTTCTGCATTTCTACGTTTTATTCTTTGAATACTGTAAACCAGAAAATAACTTTAAATTACTTAGAATTGTGGGATATGCTGGCTTTTCTTCATCCACTTTCTAGAATAGGCTTCTGAAAAGACTTGTTTTTATTGGTTAAACAGCTATGTCATCTGCTTATAAGGGATTGGCAGCAGGAGACTGCTGCATGCCTCATCACAAGTAATGAGACAGTATTCAACAGGGGCTAGGCTTGTTTGTTGCAGCCATCTCCCTGACCCATGTTCAAAGTTATCTAACACAAAAAGTAAAAAAAAAAAAACCAAAATCCACATGCATGCACACAAAAAGAGTAAAAAAAAAAGGGGTGGTCAAGGGATGGGAACCAGCTGCCAAGCCATGGTCCCAGCAGCCAGGCCAGCTGACTAGATAGCAACAACCAGATGGTACTGCAAGGATTGTCTCTCTGCTATGAGGTGGCTATGGGATGGCACAACATTTTTCTGCCTGACTGCTTCCAATCATGTCTTTCCCCAATGGCAAGCCTGTGCAATTACCAGCACTCCAGGAGGTCTACAGACAAGCCTTTACCCTGCAAACAAAATACAGCTTGTAGGCCATACCAGCTGCCAAACCACACACATAGTGATAGGTTTAAAGAGGTCTGAAAATCTTTCTAACTCCATAGTATAGGCAATAAAAATATAACTGTACCTGCAGGAAAGAAAGCTTTAAATGACACTGTATAATGCACACAATAATACAAACTCCAACTTAATCAAAATGATAATGACGTATGCCAATCCTACATTACTTGAAATTGAGCGATTTTTATGTTCTGACAAGTTTACAGAACTAGGATAAATGGCATGAATGATTTCAATATATGCTCATACTTTTGAACCAAATGGTGAAGGTTAAAATCTTTCCTTTCAAGGGCCTCAATCAGCCACAAAGGAAAACAGTAATCACTGTCTTTTCAGCCAGCCCAACCGCATTTGTCAGCCCTTTCTCCGTCAATGCAGCCAGAGCAATCAACCTGCCAAACATTCAGAATGGAAAAACAATCTGAAAATACAGGGTATAATGCACCTGCCAGTGAAAATGGCCATTTCAAGAAAAGCTAGTGATCTCAGTGACCCTGCTGAGGAGGCGGTGGTGCAAAGGGGAAAGAACCCGTAAAAGAATTCTTAGTGATCTCCACTCTCTTGCACATTGACACTTCCTTACAAAGCATGCCAATTACAGCTTTTGTGCTACTTAAAAAAAAATGAAAGCTTTTTTGGGCAAAATAATCACGCAAAGAAACAGAAAGACACTGCTGCTCCTTTTTCGATGGATTCGCATGCACGGCAGATTCATAACCTGAAAACTGTATAACTTGTGGCCATTTTAAAGAAGGGAATTCTTAATGTCAAATAACTACAGGTGTGAATAATGCTTAATTAAAAAAATGTAATGTGAGTTAACACACACGATTTTGAGAACAACACATGCAGGATCACATATTCAAATTATGGCCACTTGGATAGAAATCCCCCTCTTTTTTGCCCTGCCAATCAATCTGGCAGAATTAAATGATGCCTTCAAATTTAGAAACTTGGTTTTGGGTCACCCTGGATACATTATTCTAGCTTTGAAAGTCCCAAATTAGAAATTTCAGCCCAACACCCCATTAGTCATACTACACTGATTCTAAGTACCATTTTCAGTGACAGGAGTCAAATTCTTGTCAAACGTAGATGGTCAACCCCTTAGTGCTATATGACCTTCTAATCTACATATTTTATTCAAAAGATCATATAGTTGATTGCTCCTGCCTTTTAATGTTTGAAACATAAATGGCATATATTATACAGAGCTCGAAATTCCTTCATAGTACTTTCACTGCATACAGCCAGCTGATATTACTGCATTTAAATGCAGGATACAGCACTTATTTTAATATTCTCAAAGTATCAGACTTGAAATTGAACATGTCATCTCACTGATTTATCTGTAACTGCATGAATCTAAAACCTTCCCTCTAAAGAAGAATCACATGCAAACTTTCTTATTAAAGGATCTGGAGAAAAAAACTTCAAAATTTAAAAAAAAAATCCCCATATATACAAGTTCTTGACCTCATTATCCAAAACTAGAATGCTTTCTATTCCAAACCCAGGAAGCTTTCTCACAGTTCAGAAAAAAGGCACCATTAAGCTGCTGGACTAAAAAAACAAGGTAAGACATGTTTATTTTAATTACTTTTCCTGTCTCTCCTTCATCTCAAATTTATTTAATAGCAGGCAGATAGCAGAATTTGCAAGGAATTAGCATAACAATAATACAGCACTCACCAAACACTGAAACATTGGACATATTATTTCTGAGAAAGTTCCAGTCTAGTAAGTCAAGAACCCACAATACCATCATGCACTACATTTATCTCAAGTCAGCTACCTAAATTTGAAACCTTAAAGGCACTCCCTAACTGCATCCACCTTATTCATTATTGACTGTATCTACTGGCATTTTAAGCCACTTCAATTGCCAGTGTACCAAATATGATTTCAGATTAAAAAAAGGCTTCACAGGCTTGGAAAAGTCACAGGGCCGTGAAGACAGGAAATGGGACTCTATGTCACATCAACATATCGATGAATATTCATTATAATATGCTAAGGGATTAACTCCATGTTGCTTCTGACAGGCAATCAGGGGATCTAAGGTTACAAACTGAGCAGTAAAGTAGCTGCTATTTTTATGCAATCTTTAATAGCAACAAATGTCTTGCCAATGAATGCTAAAAACAGGTTTAATGAACCACTGAATTTTTACTTTGAGTTCACATCAAAATTGTGATGTATTTTGGCAAGACAGAAGGAAAGGCAGTGCTGTAAATTAGGCTGCACCTAGCAATAATACTGGAAAGTGTAGTTCCAGTTGTCTGAGTAATCTGTTGCTGCAGAGTAGGTTAATCAAAGTTAAATCATCTGTGAAATGGGTGGCTTTTGTTAAGCCAAATGTCTTCACATCAAGTTTTCCTATCTGTATTTCTGTACATTTAAGGCATATACTAGATAATATAGAATCATAGAATATTCTCAGTTGAAAGGGACCCAGAAGGATCATATATGAATTTACAATGGTCTGTTATTTCTTTAAAAAATATTAAAATGCATAAATCCTGCATTCAGTGTACCAGTATCCAAGAAGAAAATCCTATACACCATATTTTTTATTACTTGCTTAATATTTATTTCTGTATCCTGGAGATGTTAGCAGACAATTATTCCTCAAAGAGTGGAGTTAATGCAATAATACTGTCTGCAGTCAGCTGCACGTGCATAGTACTGTACAGCAGCACTAAGCAGCAAGTACCCAGTTAGTCCTGGAAAACCTTAATTCTGACAGCTGAATAAAATCATATTCCCCTGTAAACCCATCCTTCTTTGGATGAACAGATTTCTAGGAGAGATCCAGATTTTATTGTTTTATAATATATAAAAATCAATCTTCCTAAGACAGTTTCTCAGATACTTTGAGGTCATAATAAATCAACATATTAGTACTGCAATAAAATAATGGAAGTTGTGAGAACTGTTAGAACACTAACTAATGCCTTCATCTCCAAAGGAAGCTGCCACATTTCAAGATTAACTTAACTGTTACATGAATCCAAAACAAGCATTCCCAAATGCCAAGTTTTATTTGAAGACATGAAGTCTCTCCTATTTAACTCACTTGGTATGTGTTGCCACAAATATTTCCATAACGATTAGGAATGGTTTTAATCTGAAACTAGTTTTCTTCTACTTCTTATCTGTTCCAGCAGGCAGACTGGTTGGAGTGTGAATGTTTCCCAATTCAGCTTACAATGTAAATACATAACCACTGTGTAGCACACAGAACTGGAACAAAGAGAACTATTTAGTTTGGTGTTTTGCTGTGGCTTTGTTGGTTTTATTTCATGTGCTGTCCTCCCCCACCCAATCAAGTGTTAGCACAAGGGGACCTAAACAAGCAGAATGACTGCAGAGCATACCTAATAAAACTGCTTATATTTTCCTTATTCAAAAACACAGCTGCTCAAACAGTATTTCAAAACCTCAAAATATATTATGAAGGGTCCAGTTCACGTCACTTTATAAGAAGCTATGAACACTGACCTAACCTAGCTCAGATGCTGCTGGACAAGGGACCTGCTGCAAGTGTAAGTTCAGTTACAAGCTCCACTTTCAAGTGTACTTCACAAGGTTTTTTTTGTTTACAGTATATGCATTCAGATAAGCACAACTCGGACTGTGAGATGAAATAAGAATCAATAAGATATATTTTACAGAATTTAATCTAATTGCACCCTGTAAATTCAGCATATTGCTTTCGTTAATTGTTTTAAAGAGTTAAAAATTTTTCTTTTCTTTACCAAGAAAAATCTCTTACCTAGTGACTCCTTTTTTGTATGCAGCATGATTTATTCTTTTCTTTAAACCTATGTTCTATTTCAGATATCATTGTAAAATGGGAACACAGAGCTTTATTATTAATGTATTAATATCTTAAGATAAACCTTGAAAAGATCTTCAACGTTGAAATGATGAAAAGACACCTGTGAATTTTGTGAAGCACATGAAATAAATATATTACAAAAAAATTATGATGGCCCTCAAGAAATCAGTATTTGTAAGGTGGAATGGGTCAGGAGACAATGTATGCATTGAGACTGCTTTCTGGTAAATGCAGAAATAGAGATAGCCACTGTTCCACTCCACTACAGCAAACCTGAACTACAGCCTATCTACTGTGAAACTCAGATCATACAATCCCCAGCAATTTCCACTGTCAGCAGGCAGCAGAACTCTTCAAGTATATAAACTTTGACCTAAGTCTTCAGATTCCATGAACCTGACAGAAGGGAGAAAAAAGACCTGAGGGATTAGACAAAGGTAATGTTGAGAGCATGGGAGAAATGAAAGCAGGAAAACCCCAAACACCTACCTGTGCAGGGATACAGATAAAATGAAGAATAGAAAAGAAACACAGTTAGAGAGAAATCATATCCTCTGGCTCACTGGAAGTGAAAGTTTGAAAGATACATGAAGTTTGAAAGATATATCCTTACATGAACACACAAAAGTTCACATACCAAAGAGCAGGAAAACGCAAAATTATGAATGTAGAAGTAGGTCCTAAAATTGCTAACATAGACACATACTCAAAGTCAGTCATATTAAACAACCAAGAGATTTTGTTGTAGAACTGCACACAAGGTAGGTCAAGACTAATACTTTCATTTGCAGATCAATTCAAGTGTTTCAGCATTGAAAAGCAAATCTACTAGCCAACCATATTTTCTTTGGAAAAATTTATTTTTTGAAAAGCAAACAAGTCATGACTGAAAGCCTGTGTTCAATTGCTGAAAACAGAAACTATGTAAGTTATAAATAAATTGGTTCCATCTTTTAAAACTCAATGTACAAATTTCAGGTATAAAAATTTAAATTCTTAAGAAGTAGAGGGATTAATTGGTAAGTTTGTTGTGGGGTACACAGCCTTCAAGTAAGTTCATAGAATGTTAGGAGTTAGAAGGGATTTTAAAGATGATTTAGTTCCAACCCCCTGCCATGGGCAGGGATACCATCCCCTAGATCAGACTGCTCAAAGCCCCATCCCACCTGGCCTTGAACACATGCAGGGATGGGGTAACCACAGCTTCTCTGGGCAACCTGTTCCAGTGCCTCACCACCTACACAGTAAAGAATTTCTTCATGGTATCTAAGCTTAAAGCCATTTCCCCTTGTCCAGTTATCACATGCCCTTGTACAAGGTCCCTCTCCAGAGCTGGATGCAGCACTCCAGGAGCAGAGGAGAGGGGCACAATCACCTTCCCTGACCTGCTGCTCATACTGCTGAGGACGCAGCCTAAGATACGTTTGGCTTTCTTTTGGGCCACTTCTTGAGCTTGTCCAGGTCCCTCTGGGTGGCATCCCATCCTTCAGGCATGTTACCTACCCCACTCAGCTTGGTGCACTCTATCTCTCTGCATGTCAGTGATGTAGATCATAAATAACACTGGTCCCAGTATGGACCCCTGAGGGACACCCCTTGTCACTGATGCACACCAGGACTCTGAGCTGTTGACCTCTGGATGCAACCATTCAACCAATTCCTTATCCACCTAACAGTCCACCCATCAAATCCATCTCTTCCAATTTAGAGAGAAGGATGCTGGGGGGGATCGTGCCTTAGAGAAATCCAGACAGATGCTGTGTACACTTCCCTTGTCCACTGATGTAGTCACTCCACAGTAGAAGGCCACTAGGTTGGTCAGGCAGGAGTTGCCCTTGTAAAGCCATGCCAGTTACCTCAAACCACCCCCGTCCTCCATGTGCCAATGTGTGGATTCTAAAATGTCAATGCAAAATATATCCCATTTATTTATCAGCTGTCAGCTAATTAAGGAACTCTGTTTGTAATCTGAACATATATTAGGAGTGTGAAAGTACCACATATGTAGAAAGAGTGATGTTAAAAGACATGCAGAATAACAGTAATAGTTAAGCAAAACCTACAAAAATTTAGTAATAGAATCCATATAAATTATCTCACATATCAACCTTCATTTACCTTATTAAGTTTCAAGATCACAACTGCTAATTCTAATTCAGCCAGTCATCATTATTATATTAAAATAAACCGAAAGTAACTCAACAGTAATAAATTAACCATTCACCTTCCTTGGGCTGAGTCATAACAGGTGTTTGTGTCTCCTTTGTGTAGGTAACAATTTCTCGAGGAGGAAAGTCAACTTGTGTAATTTTGGCCATTCCGAGTTTAACAGGTCCACGTCTAAATAAAATTGTTTTAAAAATCAGAAAAAAAAATTATTATTTCACATTTTGCATAGAATAATACCCAAGTCATTATGCCACAGCACTGCTTAGTCAAACTTAAATCCAGTGGAAACTCTGAACAAGTCACATGATTATGACTACTACTATTTTATCATTATTATTTAAAATCAGCATCTATTTATACAGCTGTGACAAAAAGAAAGATGTGCACATATAAATATCTGGACATTAGGATATAATTTTAAAGTTTTGCTCTTTGTGCTTGACCAGAATACTGCCACATATATGACACATCTGTATTATCAGAGATACAGATCTATTCACAAGAAATGCTTGTACAGCAACAGTTCTAGGATTATAAAGCTTGAAAACTAACTTAGTTATACTGAAGGAAAAAGCATTCCCTAGTCTTTTAACTTTGCTGCCCTTTTTTTGTCTGCCTCTAAGATACAATCTAGAATGCAGAACTGCCAGGCTGACCTGAAACTCACACTGACAAATAATTTATCCATAATACACTGTTTCACAGCACAATACTGAAAACGTCTGAGCTTACTGACTTTAATGAAGGTAGATACAGCTAGCATCATACCATACATAATTTATTCCAAAACCTGCACAACATTAATTCAGTCATTGTAGCCTTCTGTAAAACCTAATTGTATGTACTGTAATAATACTGCAATGATCCAACAATTTACCTATATCAGATTTAGTTTCTCATTATCCACTCCTCTCTCAAGATAAAAGCAGAAGAGTAACTCCTTTGAAAAGGTCTTGGTGGGCAGAATCATAATTCTTAGCACACAATACAGGTTTTAGTTAGTGCTTATAATGAGCTACAACTTTTATAAACCTATTTGTAAGAAAATATGGGAGTTGCTCTGTTTTTAAATACAGTCATGCTAACCTTTTAATATTAAATAAATGACTTCTTAAAGTTTACATTTTGTCAAAAAAAGACTCAAAGAAAACTTATTTATGTTTATTAGAAATAAGCATCTAATTTATATTAAAAAAGATAAAAATTTCTCATTGAAAGCAAACTGCTAAGTCCAGGGACAGCAAATTTCTATTACTTACAAAACAGTTTCTTAACAACAACAAGTCTTAAAGGAAAAAATGCTCATACTTAGTATCCATAAGCACATGAAAGAGGGAATATAAGAAATCTCTGCAATACCCCAGATCGGAATCAGAGTGGAGCTGAAGAACTGATGGATCAGTATCCCAATGCAGCGTCCTGGTAGCCCAGGTTGAACAATCATGCAGCATTAGCAAAAAAGGCCAGAGATTAGTGAAGCAAATATACACTATGAAATTCTAGAGTTACAGCAAGCTTACAGTTATTTCATTATTCACAAGAAACAAGGCAATGCAATATCAGTTAAGGGAAATTCAGCAAACATTCAGTGCAATAACACATGCAGTAAATACAAAAGTTAAGAAGCAAACAGAATTCAGAGCTATTAGCAAGGAATTAAATTATTTTAAAGTTGAAAATTAAAGGTCTGCAAACAAACGTTGCCCTAATGAAAGGCAAATAAAAATATTTTAAATACTTTTAAGAACAGCTAAAAACTTGAAATTCCTTTTAAAATACGCTCAGATTTGTTCAAGTTATATGAAGACAAATTTGTTAACATAACATAAACTTGCCCAAAGCAGTAAATATGTGGAGGAAACTGTCATATTGGTAAAGGAAATGAGTCAACACATAAGCCTTTTGGTAGTGGGGCAGAAAAGCATTTCCACTGGGACAGAGAACTGCTAGAGTTTCCAAGATGTGACATTGCAGTAATTATGGGTTAAGCACTGCCTTGGGCTTGTAAGTGTCATCTGAGTTAGAGTCAACTCCATCTAAGACACTTAAAATCTCTTATAAATTGTGGGCTTTATATTAATAACATGTTTCAAAGTCATGTGGAATAACAAACAGAATGGATCCATTTCAAGTTCTACTAGAAGAAATGGAAGGGGAAAATCAATATTCCCTCTACCTACATTTTTAGCCTTCATCTCTTCTTCAGAAATTTTCATGTAGTCTACTGGCTATCAGGCTTAGGCAGAATTTTAGAAACACACTTGTAAGAGATTAGCAGATTAACCTGCATGGTTTTTTCTGATATTCTCCTATGTTATCTGCATTTTTAAAAGAAACATTTCTGAATTTTAAAAAATGAAGAATATGCAATATTTTACTATGATAAGTCAATAAAAGACGATTTTACATTTTCATCCCATACGTGGTAACTTTTCAATTAACTAGGTGCAGAACTCCTAAAGTTAAAGTTGATCTAAAAATATACACACAATGCCATAAAAGCTCATGAATATGGGTGTGCCATGCATTACCTTGTTCCAGTGGAAAGTATGCATTAGGACTATTAATAATTTACTTAAGAATTACAAATCCACTGTCTTCGTATGTAGCCAATCAACTGCATCCACAGCAATAGCTTAACACCCAAATCTCAAAAATCTTTAAATATCTTTTGTGCATCAGAGAACACATAATTTTAACCTAAAGTTAATTACTTGCAGCAGACTTATTTGTTAGATCTCTGCTATCTTTCTTGACCAAAAAGATTTAAGCTTAAGAGTTTAATTTGGTCCCTGAGACTTGAAGCTGGGTATTGCTTATATGTTGTTCAATCATAAGCAAAACCAAACCACCACCCCAACCTTCATGTTGCAAAGAATACCTTAGCCTCACACACAGATGCTGCATCACCACAATACCTGCAAAGTAATTTTCTCAACTTTTTCAATCGTGTTTGAGACGAACTTGGGGAAAAGGCTCTAAACATAAAATGCTCCAACTTCAGCACCTGTTTAAGATGTAGCCCTTAAAAAGGGAGCTTTCCTGCTTTCCAAGTATTATTGTCACTTTCAAAAGTTGCTTTAGTGGGACTAGGGACAGTGTGTCTTTTAAAACAGTTGAAGCTAACAAGCAGTACAGGAGATACAGTTAAATATTTCTCAGAGATATTCTCTTAAAATAAAGGTAACAATCGAAGATAAAATTCACCTAATATTTATGTACCAAAATGATGCAAAATACTGTTTCTTTTGTTTTCCAGTTTGTTTTGCCTTCAGTTAAATGAATTTATCTACAAGCTTCAGTGAACAAATTTCCCATTCTTCCCCATATGTCCAGATTTCTCTGCATTCCTGCATTAGACATTTTCCTAACACTTCCGAGTTCTCTAAAAATATTTCCTGTTTTTAAACTAATTCTATGAAGCATCCACCAGCCTAAAAGTAAACTGGCTGTACTCTTTTCTAGTGTAGGACTTACACTCTTGACTGAGGAAAAAAGAGAAAGAACCAGGATCAAACTAGGAAACAAAACTCTTTACTAATGAAAATAAAGCAAGACAGATGGAAGTAACAGCAGGAGCACAGTCTGAACACTGCTCTACTACTTACTAAAAGAGTTACTGACAAAATTCAGCACCACAGAGGAGGCTTTATACATCTCATATTGGTATGAGTCAACTATGAAATGCCACGTGTATCAAGGGATATCATACAGTCCAACTTTCATGTTCAAAATGTATGAACTTGTACTAATAACCCAGGATATAGACATCCATTTACTGGGGGAAGGGAAGAATCCACTGGTGGGAGAACAAGCAAAGGGACTCCAGCAGGGACTCCATAATGCCTTCAATTTAGCTGGATATTCATATCTCCATGCCTTAAAGATGACAATCCTGAGACAGATTTAAAGTTTGAAAATGCATGAAGCTTTTGAGACACAGGATATGGGTTTTCTCAAGGCTTCATAAGAAAATGCATGCATACAACATTGATTCTGTGTTCTCAAACGTAGTAATGCAGAGTGCAGTGCACTGATGAGGTGGAAATAAATTTAGTACACAACGTGGCATTGCATTACAGGTATGTGGCCAGTACATACTGTTTCATACTGAATTTAAATTAGGCGTGAATGGAAAGAAAATATTTTTTTTTAAAAAATCATTATCAAATACTTATTTTTTTTTTTTCCTTCTGGTAAAGAGAAATACGTATGTAAATATATATTAAAAAAAGACAATGAGCAATAAACAACAATTAGAAATCATTAAAATTTGCTTGCTACTCAATTAAGGAACAATTATATTGGTTAATTAACATGACAGGCAAACAAGATTATACCTGAGCACTGTTAAAAAAAAGTCTGGGTTCACATTTGCTGTCTGATGTATTCTCTATTTTAACTTATTAATTTCTACTTAGAAATAGGCACCACATAACCTTTGTTCAGGTCATTAGTATCTTGAATATTTTCAGATCAAGATGCATAGTTATGCATGCATAATCCCCATGTACACAAGATGTTACTGCAGTCTTTCAAAAAGAAGTTTCAAAGCAGTCTAACCTTTGACTCCCTTTCCAAAACAACTACTCATACAACAACAGAAACTGATAATGCAGTTATTCTGCTTTAACTAAACTTCATCCACAATGTATGCTCACTAAATTTAAAGTGCACAAACTTCACCTGCTGAGAATATCTTACCAATATTAATAGGCAGCTACTGCTCTTATTTGCAGACTGTGCATGGGAAACTGTAGAAATACCCTTTGGAAGTAGTGTTTTCCTGCATTATCACCACTTGAAATATTTAACAGAAATATTTATCTGACTCTTGTTTAGAGCAGCATGTCTGAAACCATCACACTCAAAGAAGTGGTGAGACAGATGTGACAAGCACTGGCACTGAAAAAAAGGCCAACCGTGGCTATGTTGTTATGGAGTTATGTTTTGACAAAATAAGAGAATGCAAGTGCTGCAGTTGTCTACATAGATGAAGTCAAATAATGAGAAATACGGTTCTGAGTAGGGGAAAAATAAAATCAGAAGTAATGCAAAGCTTGTAGACAGTATCTTTTATTAGATCAGCTAGATATGGGAAAAAGCAAATAGCCTATGATTCATACCCATCCAAGTACTGAGCAAAGGAACGTGCCAAGGAAAGTGACGTACCTAGATCCAACAGCACCATCCCCGGAGTCCTGGCTCCCAGCCTCGCTTGGCGTACTCACAGATTTGGAAGACGGAGAGGTAGGAGGAGGGACTAAATAGTGAAACAGACAGGTATCCGCTGTTACTACTCGCAGAGGGTGCACAGCTTAGGATGTTTTCAAATTAATTAAAAATGAAGTATTAAAAAAAAAGTGATGGCAAACAAAAAATACATGGATGAAAATGAACAGTAGAAAGAGAGGGGAAAAGACAATGTTAACAATTCATGCTGGACTTTCATGCAATTGTTTGGCATTTATGCATCTGGAGCATACAAGAAGACATGGAGGGGAAGACATTTAAGAGAAAATGAATTGAAAAAATATTTTCAAACTGAACTTCTGACAAACGATGACACTGATTTTCAAAGGGTAATTTCCACTGACTCACGTTCCTTAAACATAGAAAAGATAGTTGTTAATACAGCTCTGACATTAGTCTTTCTTAAAGATTAGACAATGAATGTGTTTAACTGGCAATGTTATTTCAAAATATATAATCACCAAACTGGACCAAAAAAAGTGGCTGCGTCATACAGCATCCTGTTATTTTTGTTCTAGTTTGAATCAAATCAATATAAATACTGTATATTACAAAGTTTCTAGTATTCAGTCTTGAGAATGACTTTTTTTTTCTGCTTGACAGTAAACATTTCTTAAGTGTCAGTTCATTTTCTGCTTGTAGATGAAGATTGCATTTACCATTTGAAAAGTAACATGCTTTCTGGAAGTGATACATAGTGAATGATATCATGCAATCTGATACAAATACAAAGCTACTTTTGTATTTCTTTCAACTTTTCTTTTTAGAAGTGGTCATTTTTAACTGAAACTTAGGGTTTAAACACAAGAATCAAGGGGAGTTTTGAAAGTCCTTATATGCTTCATTTTTCAGCAATATATAAAGCATTCACTGCTTAGCAACCCTTAAACCCTTTAATCAACCGAACACAAATTATTTATATAAACTGCTGTCTACTCTGTCAGTGGCTAAGCATGGGAGAACTCTGAATTTAGGTCTGCAAGATTTCTACAGAATTTCTTGAAATCACAAGTATATTGTAAATTCTAAGGATTTTTTCTGTCTCATCTTAAAACAGAGACATGGTTCTGATTGACAAAAATTCTACCTTTATTTTACCAAATTATCAGTGAATTCTTCAATTTATTAAAATTTCATTCCTCCTAGAGGAGAGACCTTTTCTATAGGTCTTGAGTTGTGTTTGATAAATCCATACATACACACATTTAGACCTTATACTTATGTAACTGCGGGCATGTAAGAATATATAAATTCTTCAACTCATCCTTGCCATGTACTGGTTAATCTACAGCATAGGAGCTGCCCGCAGGCCTTTGCTTTGCCATCTGTGCATCATTTGTGCATCCTGGGGACACGGTGACATCGCGGCCCCAGCGCCGGTGCTGCAGCGCTCTCTTGTGGGGAAAGCGATTCTCGGGAAACCCTTCCCAAAATTCAGGTGAGTCCCACGGAAACACCAACAGTCTTACGAAAAAGATCAGATGGGATTTCACCTACCCCAGAGGATTAAACTATAAAATCTTGTTGAAAAGAATTCTGGTTCACTAACTGAAGGTTTCTTACATAGTAATTATGGTAGATATCAAAACATACTAACACTGGTCCCTTCTCCTGTAAGAGAGCCCACTCTCTAGCAGTTAACAGCACAGGAACTGCCTTAGGAATTAAAACAATTTCCTCGGAAAGAATCTAATGTCAAGCAACCCCCCTCCACTGACAGTACACAAGCTACCTCAGCTGCACACCAAGCAGCTCAGCCACGAGTTAGCATCAGCTCAGGCACACAATCACTGCACTGGCCGGCAGAAAAGGAGCTTGTGCCTTAGGCATGCTAACTGCAGGCAGCAGGTGGGACATTCTAACTGGATTAAGGATCCATATCAGACCTGGTTATCTCGAAAGGAAACAGAGCGAACTCTCTGCTTACACTGAAGGTTGTGATTAAGTAGCAGCTCAGAGGAATCAAACACAACATGCAGGGTGTGCCCCACTCTTTCATGTCAGCACCTGAGTTTTTCATGAACACCTCTAAGCATACACATTAGCTTGCTTTGAGGACTGGCTATTCTGTACCTTTCAGTTCTCTACCAGATGTGAAAAAAAGCAACAACCACATACTTTCCTATAAAAATTTCAACTTTACAGCCTAAAACTTAGCACAGTATCATGTAATTAAAGTGTTCAACTATGAGTCTAGCAAAGAAAATCTGTAGCAGGTCAGAACTGATTCCTTAGCAGCACACTGGTGCTAACACAGCCATATGGAGTCTCTTGACTATTAAAACAGTTTGAATTACCAAAAATGACTGCTGGGCTGTTGGAATGTGAGCAGCTATAATGGTGTTCACTTTTGAACACTTGAGAATTAAACAAAAACAATTATGAAAATATAATCACAGAAACATCTGTAAAAAGTTATTACTTTTTTGATTTACAAACGCAGTTGAATAGAGTCCCACCAAGAAGCCAAACTGATAAGTTTTAAACCCCTTTGATTTCAGAGTTGGAGACAAAAAGCAGAGTTGCATTATCAAGTTTCTTGCTTTCATCTTCCATGGGGATGTGCCTAAGTGAAGGCAAAAAGCAAGAGCCAATATGCTAACACATCCAAGAGCTGCATAGATACCAATCATCACCCTTGGAAGCTAATTTTTATACTTAGTGTTGCTATTGCTCCATCAAAGTCAGTCAGGTATTTGAGATAAGAAAAACTAGAGTGTAAAAAACGAGGAAAAGAAACAAGCCAGCTCCATACAAAAATAGCAGCATTAAAATGTGGCATTGTGGATAAGAGTAAGGAAAAGAAAAACAGGAGAATAATGAGCATGAAAAAGAGGGGGGAAAGAAAATGCATACATGATACTTATATATTTTTATAACCAATATACTTTAAATAGTCCACTAAGTATAAATAGTGTTATTTTATAAAATAATGTTACGTAATGTATACTGAAACACATCATTTGATATTTTTAACAGATCATGAAGGGCAAAAGAGTATAAAACCCAGACACGTGTAAGGCCCAAAAAAGTGGCCAGAGAATTATTATGTTAGTTATATAAATACCTCAATCCTAACAAAAAACCAAAAACCATCACCACAAAAAACCAAACCAAAACAAAAATAAAACAAACAAAAAGTCAAAACAAAACCCAACACAAAGCCCCAAAAAACACTTCATCCAAAAAAAAAAAAAAAACCTAAACAAAAAACTCCCAAACATTTATTTCAAACAAATAGTAACATTCCTACCAACAGGAGACTCAGGTGTCAACCCCATGCTCTGAAGTAATGCTTCAGCTTCTCTTCTCTTCTTTTCAAGATCAGATTCTTCTTGTACTGGAAGAACTTCTTTCTTCTGGTCAGTCTAGAAATTATTCAATAATTAAGTTATAGCCTTTAACCTTTCATTTATTTTGAGACCCCACAGGGTTTTTTGTAATACTGAAACCTAACCTACATCAAGTATGTTAGATATTCAATTTCAATTATTCTGATGGGGTTTTTTTGTAGATCAAGTAAACGGGCAGGAATAACAATGTTCCAAAGCTTTGGTACTGTCTTTAACGGACAAATATAAACATGCAAAATGTGCCTGTGTATTTAACAAAATGACTAACACTTCATAATATTAAGAGTACCTTTTTTTACACTAATCCTAAGCACTGTAAAATGCAGAGAGTGAAAAAAACATCCTGTACCTGGGTATAAAAGTATTTTAGAGAAAGTCATATGATTCCTATTTTAAAATGACAATAACTGTGTCAAAGAAACGTAGTTTTCTTTAAGTTGTGTTATCTACTGCATATAAAACAAGAAATACACCTCCACCCTCTTTCATTTAGAAATAGTGCAAGCTCTACTGCAAAAGATGGTGAATACTCTGTATCTTTCTACTCTTAGTTAGCTGCTTTATAAAAATGCAATTCTGGCAATACACTGCTACAAGATCATTAGGACATAATTTGAGCTATTTCTTTCTCCTTTTTGTCTGAATCATGTAGTTGGCAGCTACCCAGTCTTCAGTCATATGCTGATTTAGAACACCAACTAGATCATAACCGAAACACAGAGAAGTAATGAAAACGTACCCCAAAACATACCAGCAAAAGTTTATTTTATGAGATACAATTTGCATTCAGGAGAAACAGTAATCTATCACTGATTGTCCAGAAATCTAGAAAACTGTTAACAAACCAAACGTAACACAGAAGTACCATATTTATCCTGAGTGTTGCTCTGCTTTTAAAATTCAGCCTATAGATAGGTCAAAGAGTAGAAGAACATAGCACATTGTTTGTACAATGATAATACTGACAGTCTCATAATTCCTACAGACATCCTCAGACCGTACTTCAGAAATGAGTTCTTTAAATAACACCAATCACAACTCATCAAGCAGAGCTTTCATGCAATAGATCAGAGGGATTTGATTAATGGTGTCACATGCACACAGATAGTTCCAGAAATCTGAACTTTATGCTAGTGTAAGATACTAATTTTTAATTTTTTTTTAATCCAGTTTATCATAAGGACAGCTGAAAAGAAAACTATGTTTATGTTACCAGAAAATGAAAGTGCTACATTTACATTAGCATCAACCATTAGACACTCCCTGAACAGGACACAGGAAATGATTATGTCAACCTACTCTTAAATTTTGGGCAAGCTACATATGCAAGTCAATTTTCAAAGTGAGAATAATTTCTTACTTCTTTCTTTTTTCTTTCTTCCTCCTTTCTCTTCTTCTCCTCTCTGATTTGAGCTAATCGTTGCTTCTTGCGCTCCAACTCCGCCTTCAGCTCACTTTTGTCAGACATGGCTGAAACACTGACCAACAGAAATCATGCAGAAATCAAGTCACTATTTGGCTTTGTTTGGGGTTTTTTTTGTTTGTTTTTTAAGATAGCAGCTTTTCTTTCCAGAAACTATCTGCAAAGAATTTCACTAGCTTACCAAAACCAGCTTACCAGAAGCCTGAGAAGTCAACAATAATTGAAAAAACCCATGTTCCTATTTCTATTTTTCTTTCACTTAACACATTCTCAATACTGAAGTGATTGATTTAAAACAAACAGATAGAACCACGGTATGATGACAACATCCATTTCTAAGGCATGTCTGATTTGAAGGAACTACTTTGAAAGAAGCCTTAGGTACTGAAGATGTGAGTATCTGATCTTGCCATAGGATTTTTGCAGCTACAAAACAACCTGCAGGACTGGAAATAGCAAGAAAAGCAGCTAGACAATATTTCTCTTTCATTTTTCACTTCAACAGTTAAATATTGGCATGCTATAACTTAACAGTATATAAGCTATATATCCTTCTACAACCCATTATATGATTCAAAGTAAAGATTTATTAAAATATTTAGTAGGATTATTATAAATTATAAGGCAATGTAAGTAGAAGTGTGGTGGTAAAAGAAAACTGTAAAACACATGCATTATTTTTTTTTCCTCAAAACTGTTATACTGCTAATAAATTGGTGGATCATTTAAAGACAGAAATGCTACAAAAAAGTTTTGCTGTGCAATTAACTCAAATACGAACAAGAAGGTCAACAACAAAAGGTGGAAACTCTAAGTTTAGAACTTCACAAAAACTTAGAATACAGACAAGGAAAACTGTGAAAGGGCTAGGTGAAGAAGAACTTCATTTTACTGTTTTTAAGCAAAGGCAAGTCAGCAAAGAAAATGCATAAGTGGTCCTACAACAAATGAGGCAACTATAAATGCTTGAATACAGCACACTTGACAATAAGGATACAAGATTAAGCGTTAATAATATGACTATGTGCTAATTCAAAATAAAAAAATACTTGCAAGTGTTTGCATAGCACAACTAAGTACAGAAAGGGATACAAAATGTTGCAAGCCTCATATGTCTAACCCCACATCTCAGTAAAACGTATACTGGACTAAATGTATGTATTCCTTCATGTCGTCTGCTAGCACTAAAGTGCTAATAGAGAAATAATCTACAGTCAGCATTTTTAAATGGCATTCCCGTGTCCCTTTCAAACACCACTAGGACAAGCGCGTTGTCACACCATGGACTGCCGTCCGTGCAGAGCCGGCGCGGGGAGGCGAAGCAGCACAAACCGAGCGAACCCGAGGGGAGGAGAGCCCAGCCCAGCCCACCCCGCCTGGAGATGACCACGGCACGAACCTGGCGCCGCCAGAACCAAACTCCCCACCCAAATCCCACAGGGGCCGTCCCGGGTAGAGCTTCTGGCAGCCCGGCCAGGGTGTCCGCACGGCCCGCGGCCCGGGAGAAGGCAGCACTCCCAGCCTCTCCCACTCAGTGAGTCCCGGCGCGGGCCGTTCCCGGCCCCACCCTGCTGCCGCAGCCCTCGCTGCACAGGGCGAGGCCGCGGGAAGGCGCGTTCCCACCGGGCGGCAGCAGCAGCGCCGGGCGCGGCTCGGCCCCCTGCGCACCTGTCCGCGGCTCCTGCCCGCTGCTCCTGCCCTGCGCCCGCCGCCCTCGGCCCCGCTCCCCTTCCTCCGCCGCACAAAGGCGCCGACAGCTGGCAGGCGGCTTCCGACGGCAGGCGCCGAGGGTCAAACCAGCTCCAAATGCGTTGCGGGATGCGCAGAAGCCTACGGGAACTGCGGAAGGACACAGAGATCTGTGCAGCAAAACACCTAATGCCCCACTCGACCACACCGTCAGGGCCGGCAATCGGAAAGGAGTTAACGCGGGGGACAAGGCAGTTCCCGAGGCCCGGCACCACACTCCTCCGCGGGACGCTGTCTGGCAAAGCCGCTGGAGAACAACGACACCCAGCATGCAGCGCGCACCGCTGGATGGGCCTCGTCGCGGGAGCTCCCCGGGCATGGGCGCGGCGCGGGTCGCGCGTTGTATGATGGGAGTCGTAGTCTTCCGGAGTGGGGACACACCAGCAGCCTGCGCTCGGTGCCCACACGGCGCAGGGAGTGAGCGCCACCACCTGCCGTGGAGTGCGCGTGCGCGCCGTCCCTGACTCGCCGATGCCGGGAGCGCGCGCCGGGAGCGCGCGCCGAGCTCCCCTCACGGGGCCGTCGGCTGCGGCCACGGGCAGGGCGGGCTGGGGCGGGTTCCTTGTGCGGGACAGCCCCTTCGCCTCTGCACTGGCTTTCGGGCAGGGAGGGACGATTCACGTAAGGTCCCTCCAGCAGCCGAGTGTGAAAGCCAGTCGTGTCGATGCTGACGCTGATGGAACTGTATAGTTTTAACCGCAGGGCCCACGTGCGGCCTATAGCCATAATCCCCTTAGTGACGTGGGGATAAGGAGTATAAAAGCTTGGTTCGGTGTGAGCGTCAGGCCAGAGCCAAAATGGCCACCGCAGGTGGTGGTCTGTGCGTGTCAAGCGGTGGCGTTGGGCTGCCCTGGCGACACGGCGAGTCCCAAGATGAGCGTCGTGCAGGAGTGAAGTTACACAGCTCATTTCGATACAGCTCCAAATTAGTGGCAAGTGACTGCTGTTTCCCACTCGTCCTAAATAAATAAGTATATTGTCATTTATATCCTGTGGAAAGCTGTATCAAAGTCCTGTACCAGTTCTTGGTAACTGCTGGGTTAGTGCTACTGCCTTCCACCTCAGTGAAGTGCTGGGTCCCGCATCTGCTGATCTGCCAGAACTGTGCTTACCAAAGCAGAATTATAGGGAAGATTGCTGTAGTTCAAGTGGAGCGTGTGTTCACAACACCCTATGAAATGAAGCTTTTGGAGGCAATAACTATCAACTCCAGAACAGGTTAAATTTTCTTCTATTACAGAATTGGAATAATTTATTTGCAATGACAGAATAGTTATGCCTGGTGAGTGTACTTTTGAAACTTGTTCTGACAAGCACTGGAAAAAGGCTTCATTTGCAGGCTGGCTTTGTTGCAATCCTGTTAGGTATCATAAACTGAACAGGTTGGTTGGTACTTTGCTGGGATAGCTGCTAGGAAAACTTCAATTGCTGCAGGAATCAGTGTTGATTATTTACTCTAGTGTTCCTTGTGAGTGAGGGTTCATACTGTGCCTTAAAAAATTTAGAAAAACCCTCTGTTGTTTAGATGGCTTCTAATCATTTAATAACCTTCATGCATTTTTGTAAGAGTTTCTCCCCTCTTTCCTGTTCTTACTAGATGGACATTTTTTAATGTCGTGTCAAAATAAGGTGAGGATGAATGATGTATTTTCTGAGATGAGAAGCTTTTTGCAGTCTGGTAACCTTTGGCACAAACATACACTAGTGAATGGTCCAGCACTTGAGAGTGATTCCCTGCCAAGCACTATAGAAAATAGTTTAACCAATTCCAAGTTCCAAGTTCTTCTTCAGTGTGGTCTGCATATGGTGTCAATTTTTTCTATTATGTGGTTAAGACAGGAGATAATGAAAGCTTCTTAAGGGATACTCTAATTCATCAAGACCTGCCCTAGTTCAAGAGGTTTTTATGAGAGAGTATGAGAACTGCCAAGACATCAGCTCAAAGGAACTATTTTCAGATGTGTTGTATGCTGGGCTATATTCTTCCCTCAGTTTGGGCACCTGTTTCCCACTGACCTTTCTGGAAGTTGGTGTACTCATCAAACGAGGAGAATATGTTTGAATATTTGTTAAGATGGTAACAGATTCCTTTTGTGTGGATTATGTCAGCATTACTAGCCAAAAAGATCAGAGGGTAAATAAGAAGACAGAAGGCCTGCACTTTTTTTTCCTGCTGTAACTGACAGCTTTAACAGTTAAATTTTATTATTTTCACGTTGTTATGATCTTAGTTGAGTCACTGCCTCACAGCATCAGTCAGATCTGTTCCTTGGAGACTGAGGCCATGGAGTCATTTTGCTGAAAACAGAAATAGAATGTGTTCCTTTTCTGGTTCTTTCATAAGAAACTTGCTAATAGGTTGGAAGAAGCCCTGAAAAATTACATACATTCAGAGTGCAGTTAAACTATAAAACAAACACATAAGCATCAATTTTTCTTATAAATCTTCTCTCAGTTTATCTCCTACTTCTTGGCATAAATCTTTACTTTTAGCATAAGTTGCAAGGCAATAGATAGTTGAAAATGCATTTATTACTAGCAGAATCCAAGCTCCATATTTACACCATATTTACAAAACACTTGAGCAGAAAGGTGATGGCACATTTTGACTCAATGGAAAGGTGAACACTAACATCTGTCAAGACCTGTGGTGAGGACACCTATGATTAAAAGCACTTAATGAAGAAAAATTTTGATTTTTTGACTCTCAAAAACATGTGTCATTGGAAACATAGACACTTACTCAGGTCTATACAAGTTCACACACAAAATATATATACATATATTATTCTGAGACAAATCTACACATATAATTTGGTCATTTTTGTTCTGTGTTACATATACAAAACATGGTCTAATCTGTTAAATTTATTTTTATAGAATATGGCAAGATATAAAAAGCATTATTTTTGTTACTATTGTATATGCCTCTAATGCTAGCAAGCTCCAACACGTTCACAGACATGTTTGTAAGAGGAAAATGTATTTACAGTTGGTTTTGAAGTCAGTGGAAGTGTGTGATATTCAAGCAGTACAGTCACTAATCAGGAAAAAGAATTTTAATTTCACTATGGTTACAGATAATTCTCGCTATTCGTTATACTAAGGATGGCTGCAATTCAGGAGTGATGTAAAACATCTGTTCTATATGCTTAATTCATTCAAATATATTTATGACAACAATGAATAATCAGAGAGGAAGTAAAAAATTCAGATCCATGAGAATTTGTAATTTTGTGGGTTTAATTTTTATGTTTAGTAATAAATCCAGCATTTTGTAGCATTTCTTTCTCTGAGCTAAAAAAAGCTTGTTGCTGGTACATTAAGAAATTCATCTTAAAAGGAGCATTTCTCCAGCTCTTGTTCTTACTCTGGAATTGTGGGGTCAAGTGACCTAAGTCATGTGTTTTTCACCTTAATATCACAGGAGGAAAAGTGGTGTTTTGCCCTGGGTAGTTTGTGTCACTGGTTACCAGGTTACAAATGTATCTTTATTTTCTCTTAGTCTCTTAATGTGTCAAATTAACTGTCGTGATTTCAATAGCAATATTCCTTACTGCCATAGCTATGTGATTTGATATTTGAAAGGAAGCTTTTTGATTGGAAGATACCATATATAATTTGGGGTGTTATTAAAACCATATCTGCATGGAGTAGTTCATAACTTGCTTCCTAACAAGGAAATCAACAATTGAATTTTATCTATGTGGTTTCTGAGCTTTTCTTCCTGTCACATTTCAGAAGCTGACAGACTTACTCTTGTGACACAGGTGTGAAGTAAAGGTGACAAATGCTATACAGAGTTTTACCACAGTTAACTCAAAATCAGTCACAGATATTCAATTGATCATTAAGAATTGCCCTTCCATCTCTTAGTCCCATGGTCAATTCAGAAGAACATACAAATTTTCTTAAATATCAAACAGTATTTAGAAGTAAGCATTTTAAATGAAGGCAAGCTCTAAATCTTTGAAGTTAAAACATGACCTCCATTGGGAGGAAATTTTTATGGTCTGTTGTTTGAACTCCTGATATGCACTAAAGCGAATTTCATATTTATTTCCATTGGGAAGGCAAACTACTTTTCATAGAAAAGGATCAAAAGCATCAGAGTGGATATGGTATGTAAATAATAGGAGGTGGGACAGCGAGGGTAGAAGAACTGAGGGACACTTACGGTTCAAAGAATTCAGCACTTTTCATTTATGCTGGAAAAAATGTAAATTATGTCACCCTCACCTCCTAGTGCAAAGTTATCAGGCAGGCAATCACTAAGTGATACTGCTGACATTAAAATGGGTGGAATATTATTTACTTCTGTTTATTTCTTTTGGAAACCTTACAATACTGTATTGCAAATGAAACAAAAATCCACATATAATGGTGTAAGAAACAAAGGTTTGTCTGTAGTTTCAATGCTGGATTATTGTTCTGTGTCAAAGCTAATTGAAATCCAAGATGTTTGTATCAAAGCTGTAATGAGACCCTGACAAATACCTTTCTGCCCCAGTGGAAATGTAATCTTTCTATTGAACATTTTGTCCTGGTAAATTCCATCTGCAATAGGCACAGGCATTTTGCATTTGAATCAAGAAGGTCACTCCTTTGGATCAGATGACTTAGTGTACACTCCACTTGCCTTTAGATGAAATTGATCTTTTACTGCATTGAACATAGGACTGCATTTTTTACACCTAATTATCTTATTGTTTCATCTAAATGAATTTGGAATGCTAACACTACCCACCCTTTTTGATCTTTGCACGTATCAGTGAGACAATTCTCTGAAAAGCCTTATTCCTTAGACAGGAATACTTTAAAAACATTCAGTTGCATTTCTTTGCTAAATAAACCAGAATAAAATCAGTGTTTCATTTATTGATATAATTGAATCTTTAATAACATTTTCCTCACTTTTTTGAGTAATAATCTTAGTATCTAGTAACTAAACTGCGTATTCAACATTTTAGTTGTTTTACTCATAAATAATGCCATTGACTTCAGTGTAGAGAGGCACCATAAGAATTGCACTGTCTTCACTCTTCAGTGTTCAAAACTTTCATTACCTTTGAAAATGTGATTTTTTTTGGTTTTTTAATATAAAGTCAATACTGAGTGTACGTACAAAAGTGTGTGGATTATTTGTACAAAAACAAAGTGAAGAAATCTCTAGCTATGGAAGGG